TGACATGATTTCTCATGTGGATGGAGCCTTTTATCGATGGGTGAATCACCTTCTTCTTCCTCGTGTGTGTGATGCTTCTTCTTTGTGTAGGTGAAGGGACTTCGCATAGTGGGTGATTAAGGTTTCTCTATGCAAGAATGACGGAATTGTGGTCTTGTAATCACTTGGAAGATTTTAGGTTTTGTTAAGACGTATTAATTACGATTATAAGATGTTTAATTTGTTTTATGTGCATTAATCTAATTCCTTTCCTTTTTAGAGTAATTGACCTAATTTCCTCATAAATTATTGTGTTTATTTATTGAATGTGCTCTAAAAATTTAGAGCACAAAAAATAAAAAAAAATTAAGCCCCTTTTTGGATTCAATTTTTTCGAAACTTATTTTTAACCACATATTTTCTCATAAAATAATTTTACACGTAAATTTCAAAAAAGTCTTATTTTTTAACCATGCTTTCTTTAAAAATCCACTATTTCAAAACATATTTTCTCTAAAAAGTGGGGTTCAAATAGGGGCTAAGTAAACCCGAGTCCTAAAATGTAGAGAAATCAGCCCTGTTTTGTACTGTTCAAGAATTTTATCTTTTGGTCTTGCTGTTTTGGATTATCATTGGAGGCACGACAATTTGACAACTGTGCTGGATCGAAATTTGAATAATTGAGATTTATTATTGGATTAGAGAATTTACGTGTATAGTATTTATTCTTCAAGACGCAAATGTTTTTGTCATGGATCACGTTACAACATCATTGAGATTTGGTGTAGGGAATTAAATATCAATTGTGCAAGTCTAATTTACTTACCAATGGCTTAACAAAATTAGAACTCCAACACCATAAACAATTCACAGTTACGAGTTGGATTTAGAGAGAACTAGATTAAGAGTTTTCCTATCTTTTGTGCTAGCAAGGATATAATGACAAAGTCTCTGAACCTTCATCGATATAACCCTATTGTTTACAATACATGGATAATTATCAATCTCGATTTGATCAATCACACTATTCTTTACGACATTTTATTGATCTAAACAAGTTGTGCTTGAAACCCTTTCAACTCACAACTCCATTCTAGTCAATAAATTTGTCTATCAATATAGATGGACAAAAAGAAGGTTACAATATCTTGTCATTCATCAATATTCATATGATTCTTCACATACTTGTATGACATCATTTTCACTACTTCAGATAAAGTAACGTTTAATGATACCAAAGTATGTCGGTCCTCATACTAGATTATATGATAACCTCAACTTAAAAGACAAAAACCATTACCTAACACTTAAAGATTTCCACTGAAACTATAAGATAATAACCTACTTGTAATCTTCATTATAGGTTATCCAATGACTTGTTCTTTTAACAATGCATATCCGTTCAAATGTCTCCACATTTTAACTTGTGAAATTAGTTAATTTTTTCGAAAGAAAGAAACGTGATACATTCTAGTCTATCTGTAACTATGATATTCGTGTCTCGTAATTATTAAAGACCAAGGAAAATTTAAAATTAAATTATTTATAATTTGCATCTCAAACATCAGTCCAGTCCAGATCTCCTGTTCGTGTCCCCAGTGGGTAGGATAAAAACTTCTCATTTGACGTGGTAAGAGAACCTTAATTATAATTTTCTAAAATGGTCATAAATTCAGAGAATCATAACTTAGATTTTTATCCTACTCATTGGGGCAAGAGATCAATTCTATCTCAAACATCTTGTAATAACAAGTTATGATAACTTAACTTTTGGAGTCGATTCTATTAAATCAGTTAATGCTGCATATGATTAAAATAGACTTGTCAATACAGTTGCACTAATAATGAACTCGTTACATGGTTTGTTCTCCAGTGGTCATCAGTTCGAGTCTCCTTAGGGCCATTGAGGTGAGTATCGATCGTAAACTTCATGGTTTCGTGGAATTAGTCGAGGTGCGCGTAAGTTGACCCGAATATCCACGGTTATAAAAAAAAAATGAACTCTTTACATAGTCTCAACGATTAGACTCAGGGCATAACATTATCTACAATAACACAAGCACATTATTGTTAAATCTCACACTTTAAGCTCTTCGCCTATTAATAAATAAACATCCAATAATACAAGTTAATGCAATCCACTTTGGATTATTAACTATATGTTTTGCGTTTAAGCAACACAAGCAAGTTGAGTGATGTTCCTGATGCTATAACTTGATGTGCCTCCGCAACTTTGTTAGTAAAGAGGTCGAAAAGTTCATCTACAATCTCAGCTCCAAAATGTTCCCTTATTAATTCCTGTGTAATGGCTCTTATGCTGAAAGATGCATCTCGGGGCCTGTGGTGAGTGTCTGGTGCTATCACTGAGGGCAAACTCTCTATGCTTTCTATGGTAAAACATCCGTTTTTCTGTATGACTGCTTCTAATTCTTGAGGACGCGTGCAGTACGCTGGTATGTTGAATGAATCCACCTTCTCTTCATCAATTAATCCCTGCACACTTGTCAATATTTGATTCGCAGTTGGAAAAAAAAGGGAGAGAGAGAGAAGAAATTGCCATGAGGTGCTGCCAACATAGCATCTGTAAAGAATCTATAAGGAAAAAGCATGTACACTTAGCTTTTCCTTTTTATATATATAGGAACGCGATCTAAGGCATGCTGTTACATTTGCAATGAGAAAACATGAAATATGTTATAATGGTTTGGTGGGTATATGGATGTATCTAACCTTTATGGAGAGTTCCATAAGACAAGATCCCAATAGATCAAACATCATGTTAAAAATGACTTGATCATGAGGGGTTCCATTTGGGCAAGCCGGGACAACGATCGCCACTAGGCCACCAGGGACTACCTCTTCCGCTCTTGCGATTAGAAAGTTGGCCATATCCATGGCATGCTGAGTCGAGTATTCCTTAATTACCTCTTCTCTAGCATGAAGGTAGTAAATCCTCCCCTTGTTCCAAGCAAGTGATTTTCTATTTGTAACCTCTTTCGGCACTTGAGAAAGCAAGTGGAGTGAATACGACGAGTGCACAAAGTGGAGAGATGCTCGTAGGAACTGTGAGAGATATTACACCGATAATGTGCATATTATATTAATCAAGAACATACCGTGAAATCGAAATATCATTCGATTTATCGAAATCTGATTTGAGAAGACAAAATAGTGATTACCGACTTCCAATATATGAATATGGAT